GTTTTGCAGGGCACACCAATCTGAGTTGGAGGTTGTTTTCTTTTAGGGCTTGAAATATTTCACTCCAAGAGAAGTCTGCAGTGATTCTGATGGGCTTTTCTTTATAGGTGATTTGTTTCTTTACAGGTGATTTGTTTCTTTACTGTAATACCTTTTTAATATTCTGTTCTTATGCTGAATTTCTGGAATCTTGACTACAATATGCCTTGGTGTAGTTTTTTTTTTTTATCATGGCTAATTGGAGTTCTATATGCCTCACTTATCAGTATGTCAAATTCTTTTTCCATGCTTGGGAAGTTTTCTGCATTACTTCTGTGAACAGCTTTTTTATGCCATTTGCATATCTCCTACTTTGTTGACTCCAATCAATCTTATGTTATTCTTTTTTGCATCATCTAGCAGCTGTTGGATTTTTCATGGTCCCTTGCTATTTTTAAGAAATTGCTAACTGCTATCCTGTCTTCTATTCCCAATATTCTGTCCTCACATTGGCTCATTCTGCTACATATACTTCCAATAGAATTTTTAATATTCTGGATATATGTTTGAATCTGCTTCATGGATTCCAATTCTTTCCTATGTTGGGTGTTTATAGTTTCCATCATTTTCCTAAATGCCTCTACTTTTTAAAAAATTCTGTATCTGCTCTGGAGTCATTACCCATGTCTTTCATTATGGTCACCATCTATGTAGTTATCTGAGAGATTATTTCTGATTTGATTTTTTTCTAGAGCCTCATTTATCTGCTTTGTTACTTCCACTGTTATCACTGAAGGGAGTTCAGGTGGGTGGCTTTAAAATCGTTCCACCTCATTGTCCCCTGGGTCTGTCTTTGCTGAGCTGGAAGTCTGGGGTTGAATTTTGCTTAAGTGTCTTCTCATTTTTTTTTTTTTAGTTTAATTCTTCAGTTGATGCTTGTAAATTGCTGATGGCATGTAACTTTACTGTTAGTATTTAGAACCCTTAGGAAATGACAACTTCTCAGAGATGTCTTCCAGGTGTAGCTGGCTTTTGGGTTTTGAGTCTGTTGTAAGATCCTGCCTCTTCAATTTATTGAGGATGAGAAGTTGCTGCCTATTTGGGCTAGCCCCTGGTTCTTTGGCACTGGCCTACACTATTGTTTATGACCCTTAAGCAATCTCAGGCTTGGCATACTAAGAAGAAGAACTGATTAGAACAATTATGTCATCTTGGCTAAATCAGTACAATCAACAATAACAATAGTATCAAACACACCCTAGAAAATGACAAACTGTGATATTAATTTGCCACTTTTAACCATGTGAACTTTATTTGTGGTTATATAACAAAATCTAAAACAAACCAGAAAATTGTATACAGTAAATATATCCTCAATAGGGCAATTTTACCCTCAGTGTAGAAAATTTTAAAGGGTTGGGGGGAAAATAGAGAAACAGAAGAAGAGAAAGAGATTAGAAGCAAGGAAAAACAAAGAAAGATTAGGCAAGCACTGGGAAACTGATAAATAAGACAGGAGGGAGAGAGAGAAGGAAGAAATAAAAACAAGAACAAAACAGAACAACAACAGGAAAACTAGAAACAATGTTCACACTCATATAAAAACAAGAACAAATAAGAAACAAAACAACAACAAATAAGAAAAGAAAAAACAATACCTACTTCAGGGTGTGTCTCTGTTGTTACTGGTAGTCAGAGTGGGCAGACAGAACCCAGATCCGTGTTGATTAATTCCAGCAAGTCAGCTGTAGATTTACAGTGGGGTAGTGGATAATCCCAGGAGGCCTGCATCTTTAGTTCCACTGAAGATCAGGTTGGTTTCTGCCTATGAGGCTGGTACCCATTTTGTTCAGCCTGCAACATTCTGTGTGCCTTTTGCAGGCTTGAACTCTACTCCTTGACTTTCTGCAACTTGAACTCGTTTCTGCCTCACCCGATACTAGGGGTCACTAGATAGAGCCAGCCTATAGCTGCTCTGAGTTCCAAGCTCAGTTGGCCTCTCTCCAAGATGGCTACTGGCCAATCACCATGTCCTGGGAGACATGTGAACCCAAATAACTCACCAGCCTGTGTAGTCTGCTGTGTCCACTGCTCCATTCCACTGGTCCATTTCTCCTTAGAGGCCTCTGGGGGTGCCAGTAGTCCCTGTGGATCTCCAGGTTTGAACTGTCTCTCCCATGCAGTGAATCAGGGCTCAGGGAAAAAGCACTGCTTGCCATCTTCCTCTTCTGTGTTGAGGTCTCTCTCTTTGCTCTCCCTGTGGGCTTCAATTTTCACTTCAGATTCTTACTGGGTCCCAGAAACCCACTTCCCTCCTTCTCTTCCTCATGTTGCTGTATTCTAGCATCTGAACACCAAATCTTGGAGAGGCTGTTTCTCAGCTGTTCACCACTCTGCCATCTTCCCAGAAGTCAGAACAAATGTTTGAGCAAGAGGGTCTCCCTCAAGGGAAAAAGAAACTCAAAAAAGGAGGAAACACTCACCAATTACTCAATGATTATTTATTTTTCCTTCCCATATATCAATATGGAAAATAAAGAGAGCTGACATAACTCTAATTTGAGTCAAATCTATGTGAACATTCTAATAATCATTTTTATACAAAGTGTATGTCATGCTTCTGGAAACCTCTATGAAAACCAGGGGAAAAGTTGAATCCCAAGTATGTGAAGAAGAGAAAGACAGATTCAGGTTGCTGTGTGGGCCTGCTGTTGCCCAGTCTACCAATTAATCCCAGTCAAACTCAAGACCTCTTGCGTTTTGAGGGCCACAAGAACCTGAGTCCAAGGACTTCTGCTACTGTCCAAGGAAATGCCATTTTTCACAGTCTGTCATCTTAAATCCCCTCTCCATCAAACAAGACAAAACAATGAACAACAAAAAGACAAATACAAGGCCTTTTAGAACAAGGGGACATATCCTTTCCACATTTGTTGTTGCATTCACAGTCACCCTTGAATTAGCAAAGGTGTCTTACAAGAGAATATTCTGGAAAGGAATGACTGGAAGTCTAACATTTCAGAGTAAGACAATCTAGCCGAGTTGATCTACTTCCATGTGGTCTGGCCCCTGCTCACTGAATGTCCCCTGGGTCCTTCCAAGCTGGTCTGTGGAAATACAACTGTTTTTATCTTACCAAGATGACAGTTGCCTTTTATACTTCATTCTCACAAGTGCACAGAGGAACTTTACACTGTACCTTGGGAGGGTCGACACCTACACAGCTCAGGACCAGCATTTTTCCAATGAGTGAACCATAGTAACAGATCATAGAAGGGTAGGAGATCCAAAGTGCCATGGCAGGGGGATTTAGCTCAGTGGCACCGCGCCTACCTTGCGAGTGCAAGGTCCTGAGTTTGATCCCTGGTACTGGGTGGGGGTGTGTGTGTGTAAAAAGAATCTTACAAAGTAGTAATGGATTTTAATGTAAAAGAGATGAAACTTCCTTGATCTACTTCCTGGTTCCACAATACAAGTAACCTCTAAGAAACCACTACCTAAAAAAAAAAATAAGAAACTACTACTTGTTGAGTTTTGTTTTGTTTTGTTTTTGGTACCGGGGATAGAACTTAGGTTCTTGGGCTTAAGAGGCAGGCATCAGAACCACTGAGCTGAATCCCTGGCCCTGTTGAGTTTAGATAAAATGATGTCACTCTTCATTTTTCTTGGCTTTAAAATATATCATTTTTATGAAAATATGTCAATCTACACTAACATGTAATAGGTCATTACTTTAAGATAAATATTTAAAAATAAACATTGAATTGTAATTTAAGATATAGTATTAATGGAAACAGCCATATGAATGAAGGGTCTTTGGAGTCTTCAGTAATTTTAAAGAGTGTAAAAGATACTGAAACCAAAATGTTTGAGAAACAGTGATCGAGCCAAATTCTCTCACTGATAGGTGCAAAAGAGAGAAGTCTAAAGTTTCAGCCCTTGCCCAGGACGGTGACAATTTGGGAGCAGTGTCAGGACAGAGAACAGGGTGTTTGATTCCTACTCCAGTGTTCTTTCCATTATTTTATGCAGCTGGCAGTTGGTAAGGTGTGTTAATTTGAGTATTTCAATGCCTATATATTTCACTAAGGCTGTGTCTTTACCAGAGCCCATCCTCAGGTTATTGTAGCAATATCAGCAAAAAGAATAATATGTAAATAATATGGATTATTATTTTATGACGCAAGCATGTGGGTTCTTAACAAAACCTTAAAAATAATTTATCTGAGTAAATTATTCTCATACTTGATCAAGTTGGCTATTTCTGTAATTACATTTAATTTGATTTTGATGTTATTTATAAATCAAAACACATTTTAGGGCCGGGGATTTAGCTCAGTTGTTTTGCTGCCTGTTGCACAAGCGCAAGGACCCGAGTTCAATCCCTGGTACCGAAAAACCCCCCAAAACCCCCACATTTTAAAGACAATGCCAAAAAAGTTCTGTTTAAATATTTGTGACCTCAAAAATAAATAAAATAAATGACACACCCAAACTGCAGGACAGAGTTCTTCCCAGGACACTCTGGGCTGTGTTCTCCTGACTTAGAAAGGAGTATAAAGATTGTTTTCCCTTCTGCTTTCACTCCCAGGACAGCTCAACAGGTTTTTAACTCCATCTCAGTGACTGTGCAGCCTCCTGGGGCACATGCATTTCTTTCCCATTAATTATTCTTTCCCATTTTTTTCCCACTTTCTTTCCCATTAATTATTACCTCTGGTTCCTGAGTTTTATTTCTTTCCCTTTTTCTTTTCCATTAATTATTACTCCTGGTTCCTGAGTTTTATTTATTCATTGTCTCTGTAATTGTTTTCTTATGAGCAATCTCATCTTCTTCCAAGGACCTGGCAGGCATAAGAAAGACACAGATGAAACCAGAGTTGAGGGTTTCTGGGACAGACACAGCCTTTTGGGGTTGGGAAGGAGTCTCATGTAGTGTAATTTGAAGCAAACGCTGAAAAAAAAATTGTAGAACCCGGAGGCCCTGTCACCCTTGGTCATTTCTCTCTTCTCTTCTTTAGTTATGGGCTCCTTGCGCATCCTCAATGATAGTCTGGTAGTTATTGAGGATGAACCTTGTAATGTCACTTGCCAAGCCTTGGGCTGGATCCCACCCCCGGATATTACCTGGGAGCTCGGTGTCCCTGGGAGCCATACCAGCTACTCCTTTCTGGAGCCTGGCGACCTTCCATGTGCAGTGAGTGTCCTGGCTATCACGCCTGAGGGCAACGGGACGCTGACTTGTGTGGCCGAGCTGAAGGGTCTGCAGGCCAGCAAGTCTGTAACTGTACACCTTACTGCGGTTCAGCCTCCGCCAGGTAAGTGAAGCTTTTCTGCTCTATATCAAAACAATTGGTACTCAGGCTTGCTTGTCTATTTATGTATACATTTATTTATTGTGGTTCTGGGGTAGAAATCAGGGCCTTGTGAGGGCTAGGCAAATACTCCACCACTGAGCTACAACCCTAGCCCTTCCGGCTTACATTTTCTGTGTTATGCTACTTCATCAGTGATGCCTGAGGAAATCCTATGGGGGCTCTGATTTCAGGTGGGGGTGGCTATGAAGGCCAATGACATGGTGTTGCCTTAGTGATCCTGTGATCTCAACTGCTTTTAAGATTCCATCTTAAAGTTTTCTTCTTTTAAGTACATTTGAAAACCATTTAGAAGTCTTGCCTGTTATTTTTCACAAAGAGCAAGTTCAGAGCAAATATTCAAAGGAAACTTTTTTCTCTAGCTTTTACTTACTACCACTCCAGTTTGACCCCAACCCTAGCACAGTTCCTAACATTTGGGGAAGGTACTCAGTTCCTTTTAGAATTCTCACAGATCTCTTTCGGTCTTAGGAGACTTATTCACCTGCTTGCGGTGCTGCCCGCTTTGTACTGGGAATGGAAGCCAGGGCCTTCACACTGAGCTATGCCTTTAGTCCATTTTTGACTTTGAGACAGAACCTTGCTAAGTGCTAGGTCACCCAGACTCAGCTTGAACTTTGGCACCCCCCCCCTCAGTCCCCCAGGGTTCTAGGCTCACAGACGTGTATGTGCCACCATACCCAGCTCCATGTTTCATTCTTTACCCAGAAAATCCACAGTGCAGGCTCTCTAGATTGTTTAACTTGGTGAAGGGTCATAATTTTACAGTTTAGATCCTCTAGAACGATCTACTGTGGGCTCTGATGTACTAGAAACTCCAGCTACTTCCTCTGAAGCCCCCTGCAGAGCTGTGAGCTCCGTATTTAGTGGGAGAGCGGGTGCAGGGGTGAGATGGGATGGGTGGGTGTGGTCAGGCCTGATGATTTACTTTTGTAAAGACATTTTACAAAAGAGGGGCAGCATGGAGGGGTGTCACGCTGTAATCAAGGGCATAGAGCTGGGCTGGAGAGTGAGGCCTAGAAACTAAGAGGAGCTTTTCTCTTGAACCAAGCTTTTCCTGTCATGAAATGACCACTCCTTAAGCTCTACTGAAGTTCAGAACAAAGCTATACACAAAGCAAAATAATAATAGTAAACAGCACTTACCCAGTACCAGGCTCTGTATTACACACTTCTGAAATATTAACCAAATTAACCTGCTCAGCACCCAGGAGTGGGACCTGTCACTAGAAGGCAACTCAAGGGGACCGTGCTGTCTGGACTGGGCCATGTCTATGGAGACAGTGGACAGCAGGGTCTGCTCCCTCATCCACACCACCCACCAGGTATGAGCAGGCACTTGGAGAGGGGCTGCTGTAGCACAGGACCACAGACCAGGGCTGGAACAACAGCAATGTGCTGTCTCGCAGCTCTGGAGCCTGGCAGGTCTGAGTCCAGGGGTCGGCAGAGTGAGTTCCTCCTGTGGGGTATGAGGGCGAATCTGTTTCTGGCCTCTCCCCTCATTTCTGGCAGTTGCTGGCAATCTTTGCTACTCCTTGGCAGATAGCAACATCACCTGTCCCCTGCCTCTGTCTCCAAGTGGTGTGCTCCTATGTGTGTCCAGATTTCCCTTGTTTCATAAGGACTACAGTCCTATTGAATCAGGGCCGCCTACCCCAGTGTGACCTTGTCTTGGCTTGGCTTATATCTGCAGTGATCTGCTTCCAAACAAGGTCACAGTCTGAGGTATTGAGAATCAGGACTTCAGCATGTGAGGTGTGTTTTTGGGGGGGCACGGTTCAGCTCATAACAGATGTCTCTGTGAACCCACAGAAAGCAGTTTTGAGTCTAACCTGTGTAAACACCCATGATTCTGCACGTTAAATTTTATGGATCCCCAGTCCAGCACATGCTCGCTCCCTTGGTTTACAGCCCTGATCTTGACTCCAACTCAGATGTGCCCAGAGACCAGGCAGACAACAGAAACAATCACTTGAGTGAATACATGCGGCAAGTAGAAGATGGAGTGGTGGGACTGGGGAGAGCTGGAGTGTTGCACCTCCTCCACGTGGAGCAGCTCAAGGCAGCTCCAGCTGGTTGTTGCACAGGAAATGTGAACCCGGTACTGTCAACTCCCCAAGTTTTCCATGAGCAGGTGGAAATCTGTAATTTTATGTGAACTTTCCTAACTTTTGAATATTGGCAGCTAATTAAAATGTTTTGTAACTCTGTACACCAAACAATAAACAAAACAGAATGGGTCTGGAACTGCCAAACCCCACTGTAGTCGCTGCTGTAAAACAGGCCCACACTCAGCCAATCTTAGGTC